GACCTATTGGGAAGAGAAGTGTGAACGAGGAGGACCCCTTTTCAACCAAACTAGCTCTGGTTCTTGAACCAGTTCCATCCAGGATTCAACAGTCAACCATAAATAATGCCCACTGGGTCGGCCTCTGCTGCTTAACTTCTGTCGTAATGGTGGCACTGGGAGAGCCTGATATTTTCTGAGGTGGTACATGCTGTAAAAAGTTTGAGGTCTGGATTATAACCAATCGAGTCTTTTTTATTAGTTTTAATATCTTTAAAGTGGACAGCCTGCAACTGGTCTCTGATCCCTCCAAAGAGACCCTCTCATGATCCATGTTGATATCATTTTTCCAAGAGAATCGATTGGTCAGCAGGCGGTAGTTTGGTAGTGTGCTCGATGTAGAAGTGAACCAGCATCGTAGACCTTACCGCCACAGTACCATAAAGCCTTTCAGGTGGAATTATTATTTGAGGTGAAAGGTGGCGTAGCACACACCTGGAAACCACTTCCTGTCTCACCTGAGGATGTCGTGGATGCAGGTCTGACAGAAGCGGTGTCCACACTCGGTTTGGCGGGGCTGACACAGGACCAGCCTGCAGGCCTCGCAGCAGTATTTGGCTTCTGGAGTTTCTACAAAGAGATCTCTGAATCCCCCGTGGAGAGGCAGGAACCCTGCAGGGACACCTGGGCACAGAGACACACCTGAGTTCAGTCAGTCAGCAATACAGTAAGAGCTGATCACAGCAGCATCTAGTGGTCATCTGAGGAACAGCACCGAGGAGGCTGCTGATTGGACCTCGAAGCTAATCAACTTTAACCAATCGCAGCGCAGGGCTGGGACCAGCTGATGAGGTTGTTTACCTTGTGAAGCGGAGGGGTCGCTAGGAGGCCAGGGATTGGGTGGGCGGTGTGAGGGCGGTGTGATGGGTGGGACCACTGCGAGGGGCGTGGCCAGGGAGGGCGCCGCCTGCTGGAGGGGAATCTGCACCTCCCTCCCGTCAGCACTCCTCCCCGCTGACATGACCTGAGAGGGACAGTTAATGTTGGTGAGCGTGGCTTACACTGTAAAACAATCTGTACGTTTACGGGGTTTTTCCTGTTTATTTGACAGATTCCTTCTGTATTTTTTAAATATATGGAAATATATATATGGATTATACATGGATAATATAATCATAAAATGATTGATTATTTAAAGAAAATGAAAATATATTTGCAAATCTATCATTTTTTATTTAATAGATTACCTGTTAAATTCAAGTTTAATAATGTTAATACA